TTTCTCTTCACTTTCCCTCGCAGTTTCTTTTTGTGGTTGGTGAAAATTGTGCATCAATGCGGTCTTAAGCTTTCTCAGTGAAGTGACCCGTGTTGAAATGTTCTAGGGGCGTCTGGTTGAATTGCTCAAACAAATTGCTGTTGATATGAAGATGTGGGATGGTGTCTCTATTGAGCTGGGGGTTTATACACTTGGCAAAGCATGACTATTGCAGGGCACTGAACGGTTGATGTGGCTAAAGTTATGACTTAGTCTTTTGTCTGTCAATTTGGCTTCTTGTCTAGAGTGGGCTTCGTGCCAGACATGTTAAACATATCTGATTTTCAAAGAGATACCTTTCATTCCAAATTCCTCTTTAGGATGAAGCTGAGCGAAGGTTCAGTCAAGAAACAACCCTTCATGAAAACGATTTTATTATTTCTTTAAAGTGTTCCTGTCTCAGTTCCATCTCACTCAGCGGACTCCTCCCTGATCAGTTTCCAGTCTATCAGAGTTCATAACATCCATAAGTCAACCATGTCTGGGACCAATTATGTTCTTCACCTCCATCTTTAGTTTTCAACATAACTTACTGTCTCTGGGTTTATCCAGTGAGTGCAACAGCCCCGATCTGTAATCTGTGAGTGCAATCCTTGGTGGTCTGTGATATTTTAATAGCTGAAATGATAAAATCTAGTTTCAGCACAGATTGTATCAGAACACCTCAACACGTCAAGCTCCTGTCAATCCACTGTGTCTCTGCCAACTTTGAATTCGAATCAGTCATCTAGCAAAATCCTTGATTAGGATCGTATATTGTTTGCCCAGCGGAGCCTCTCTAAAACCACCACGAACCATAATATCCAGTTCTAACGACAGTGCATAAAAACATGCACTACCAGCTTATCGCCTTTTCTTTGCAGTTTTGCAGTATTTGTAGTTGAACTCCTGTTTTTCTACTAACGGCTTCGTTTTACTACACAACATTTACTGATAAAACACAACTCCTAAGAACAGTTTATTGTTTTCTTGTAAGTTGTTCAAACCCTAAGTATTTCAAGGAATTTCAACAAGCACCAATTAATGATCCATTTCATCATCCCAAATACACAGAACAAACATTTCTCCAACCAGAAATCCTAACAAGTATAAAGATTAAATCTGTTTTTTACAGCCGATGTTCTGCGCCTGACATCAGTCAAAAGCTTTTAAAGAGTTCAGATTAAGGACACGCAGAGAAGCTCCCTCTCCTCCTGCATTCTCACCATTAAATTATAATGTGGGACGAGAAGCCGAAACAAGGGACTCCTTTCTACCAAAAAGCAGAGCAGCTGTTAGCGTGACAGAGATGGACGACCAACCCGTGGGTCAACACCACGTCTTTCACATTCTTCAATGTTCAAGCAATTTGGTGTAATTTTATTAGGTCTTAGAAAAGTTAAGATATGTTTTGGGGGGTCTAAGGCAAAATCTAGCATGTAAATGCTAATTTAATATTACTTAGGACATCAGCATCACATACATGTTACATTTAATAACAACAACAGACTAACATTGAATGCTGATGATATCTCATTATATGTTGAGCTGACATTGGAACATCTTAATAAACTAAAGAACTTTGCAACAAATGGAATGAACAGTCAGATTTGTCTAATGTTAGAAGAAGAGGTGTTGATGGGCTCTGAAACTCTGCTCAGATTATCAGGAACAGTAAATGTTGCTGTTTCTCTTTGCAGTGAAATCAGTGACGAGCAGAATGTTTCTGTGAAAAGAACAAATGCTTGAACTGATCACTTTTCAGTCCAGAGTGAAAAGATATTTGCTGCAGTGATATTCTGAGACAAATTGAGCAGTGTTCACTAAACTATGATAAAAAACACAGTTACATAACATCATGTGTGAAGAGGGCGAGCGAGAAGCAGATGGACAGATTCATCCACTCTGGTCCTCTCACTGTCCTTCATTTTTTATTCTGGTAGTCTCCTCTCTCTCCATCTTCCTTCTCTTATTTACTGCATTCCCTCCAGCTCTGCCTCTAACGTACTATAGTTCCTTCATTCAACCTTTCCAATCTCTTTGCCCCTTCTCTCTCTCTCGCTCTCTCTCTCTCTCTCTCTCTCTCACACTCACAGCGTCCTGTAAGAAAAACTTACGACAGGTTTCTTAGCAACAGTTTTTTTCCAGTGTCCTAACTGGACGGCAAAGTGACTTTGTCCCTCCTGACTTCCAACCACCAATGACACAACGACTTTGTGTTCCCGTAAGAAGGAGGTGGCCAATCACTATGAAGCATCTTGCTTGTTCTGGAGTCAGCAGGACGGAGGGACAATGGTTGAGGAGAATGACCTGTTGCCATTTTGTCAACACACCATCCAGTGCTGCAGTGAAAGGGTTTCTAACATGTGCATTGACACAAAGGTGCTCAAACTACACGAGAAAAAGTCAGAAGTTAATTTTTTGTGTTGCTTGACTCACACTCACTGCAGCTGCAAGCAACATATTCAGCAGGAATAGAAACCTCAACCATCAAGTATCCAAAGTGACATGAGGAACCTGATCCTCTGGAGCTCCTAACTGAGCCAGATGAGATGATCAGAGTTTAATTCTCATCAAGCGTTTCTGCTCTTATGATGTTGTACAGGACGACATAAATAAAGGACTTGACTTTGCCTGAAAAGCTCAGGGAGTGTTTGCCAGCCGCTTTGGGTGGCCATAGTTTTTATGCAGGGCACTTCCTTTAAGCTTCTAATGACGGGTGACCCTAGCGTGAAGGGATGTTTAGAGACTAGGTCAGGCTTTTAGAGTCAGGGGAGTTCCTAGTGCACCAACACTATCACGCCTGGAGACCAGCAATCAACCAGTGTATGAAAAAACCTTACAAATCCTACAAACTCCCCTGTTTGAAGCCCATAAGGAAACAGTTGTTTTTAAAACAGCATGTGTTATTGAGACTTTATGACGGTAGATCATTCATCATTAGGTGCTGACGACAACAATCCAGTGATTATAAATGAGGAAATCCATTGATATCGAATGCTCAGGTGCAGAGTGACTTCTGGACGGGACAAAGAGCTGGGAGTTGTTATGCTGGGAGCAAAGCTCAGGAGCTACTGGGGGAACTGTTGACATCAATTGATGCATCAGACAGGGTCACTCCCACTCTGGGGATCAGGACTTGACTTCCCACAAGTCTTGAACCAACAAACACCTGAGGTGAAAGAAAGTGTTTAGCCTGCTGTTGTATACACACATTACCTGAATGTAATGTACAACACGTTTTTGATGGTGATGACTAAGTGAAAGTTTGAGTATATAGTTGAGTATATTTCACAAAATCTCTCAGACATGTTGATGTTATCTGATCTATATATTCAATATCTTTTTTGATGTAACTTGTTGCTCACCAAATCACAATAATAAGTATTTTAAGGATTGGATGTTGGATTATAATTTGGTTTAGATATTTTGTAATTGAGACATTTACAGTTATAATCTTGTCAGTGCCCACTGGTGGACAAACAATGTTATAATTATTCTACTGCATTTTCTCACAAGTATACAGACACAAATATAATCTGTGATAAGATAATATAGAGTAATATGCCAACCATGTTTATCGATTAGTTTGGCTTGATATTGGTTTTATAATTTCATATTATCATCAGGTTTACATCAACATCATCATTATCAAGGTAAATCCTCAGGGTCAACTCTTACATTGAATAAACAGCATAGGTGTGGCCTGCAATGTAGCCTGATGTGCACTTCCTAGAAATGTAACTACAGGTTGGTAACTTTGACTGACCCACATGGTTGCATCTCGTGTCCATGTCTCTCAGTGAATGGACAAGAACACAGAACTCATCCTCCTCCAGCCTGAATCACTTCAATGATCGTACACATCATCTCAAACATCTTTCTCTGCATTACAGTCATTTATTAGCTCAATCATCAACACTCAACATTTGAAGTGCATACCCGTTGGCACAGAAACTCCACCGCCAACTAGTGTTTGGCTGTGTGATTGCAGAGTGACACAGGCACACAGCATTGAGTGTAAGTTGACCGGTGACAGAACTATGAACCAGGCTTTAAAAGTAAAATCAAATGTAAATGAATTCATACATTTACCTATTCATTTAAAGTTATAGGCTAATGGTTAGCTTTGACACCTACAACATGTTTACATTGTTTTTTAGTCAGACTGGTTGCATGCTGAATGCATGCTATGACTTTACATTGACGGAGTTATTATGTATATGCAGACTGAGAAAAAAGACTAAAACCTGTTGAGATACGGTTTAAAATGCATCCAGACAGGTACTAACTTCTTCAATTCAGTCAGCAGATATTATTATATATTATAATATATATTATACTATAATATTACTATAGTACTATAATCCCAATAATTAGAAAAGATGTGCACAAAAGAACACATTTCAGTTCTATTAAACAAAGATGACTTTATCATGAACGTTATTGATTGTAATATTTTCGTTTCAATCAATATTCTTTATTATTATCATACTTTATATATTAAATTATTATTTTAATGTAAAACATGTTGAAGTCACTGTCTCTGATCATCACTCTTATGCCAAATGACATTTAGCCCATTTGAATCTCTTATATGACAGAATAAACATCCTCAATGTAAGTTTTGTCATTTCAAATTCTGAAATGATTAAATGAAGCAATTGACTAACTGACTCAATTGACTTATCATCCAGTTCTTGACACATCCCACTTGTGGAGTCATATATTTATTACAGTTATCATGTGAATTCCAGGATACTTTATCTGTTTTTTGAATTTGATGTTTTGAGATGCTAAAACTTGCTTTTTTCCCCTTTAAAGTGTTTTTGTCTCCCTGGTGTCTGTGCTGTCTGAGCTGTCTGTGCTCTCTGGCTGCAGAGTGTGAGCTACATGTTACCACCACATGGCTTTTATCCAACTGGAGGCGCGTGAGAGTGGTGCGCCTGGAGAGTGGAAGCGCAGTCGCAGGTTCTCCAGCGCCTGGTGCAAGATCCCTCTCCCGTCAACTGTGCCACGTCTGGGAATCTTCCTTTATATAGCCGAAGAAACTCCAGCAACACCACTTCAAACCCGACGTGTATGCAGATTGTTCTCTCTCCCCTCTGTTGACCCCTCTCTCCCTCTCTCGTTTCCTCCCCCTGTTCAGGCTTAACCATCCTGAGTGTTTGTAAAGACGATTGTCAGTGCGCAGCGTCGCGGAGCCAAAAGGAGCTTTGCCACTGTTCCATAGGAGACTGGTGAGTTACCTCTCAGGTTAAATTAGATTTCATATTCATACGATCACACGTCTTTCATACTTAGTCACAATATCATCATTTTCTTTTCTCGTGTTATTCTAACTTCGTGTGAGGCTGCAGGCTCAGATGCTGTAGGCAGTTAGGATTGGGCTGATTGATTAGTGATTAGCCTGCACTATAATTGTTTAAAAGTTTTTATGATGAACTATTCATATATATGAATATTTACTTATTCTTGATGTTGTAGTTGTTGAAATTCACATTGAACAGAAGTTGGTTCAGCTGGAGACTAATCTGTTTACTCACAAGCAATCTCATTCTGGTGGTAAAACAATAATGTACATTTTTCTATTCTACTCCTGAATGCAAAGTGAACGGGGTATTATAGTTGATTTCACATCGCTTCTGGTTAGTTAAAGGCACATGCAGCTAATCAGTGAAAATGAATTAGACTTTCTTCACTGTTTGATTTGAACAAAAGTGGATTATTATGGATGTGGTGTCGCACTAATGGGACACTCCTCTTCTCATTCAGACTGTCCCAGGACACTCACATTCTGGGAAAAAGTCTCAAGTTCTGGTAGGGTGGTCAACCTGTTTAAATAAATCTTCCATTGGTTTTTCATTTTCTTTCTTTGTTTCTCAGCGGGCTGCTGGAGAGTCATGACAGCTGAGAAAAGTGGGCCGGTTATAAACGGTAAACCAGAGGACGGTAAAGATCCGGAAGGGTCCAACTCCAGCCTCGACCATGGGGAGTACAATGAGAGGGGCCATTGGAACAACAAGATCGAGTTTTTCCTTTCTGTGGCCGGAGAGATCATCGGGCTGGGCAACGTGTGGAGGTTTCCTTACCTCTGCTACAAGAATGGAGGAGGTAGGGACATTTTCCTTCATTACAAGATGATAATAATAATTATGAAGCGGAGGACATTAGAGAAGCTCCCTTGATGGAAGGAGGAAATAACAACGGTACCTGTAAGAAGGAACTCAGCTGATTATCTGTGATAAGATAAATTAATAAAATGCTGTGATTGTTAAAATGTCTACACAGCAGGACATTTAATTTCTTGGAGCCCTCAATGTATAAAATCAAGCAGGCAACAGAACTTTCGTAATATTATGTCGTTTCTTATTTCATCCATTTTGCACAATCATGCAGTCAATAGAAGAGCTGGCTTCCCTCATTAGACAGCATGCACAGTATGGATCCTACTCAGGATCTGAAAAGGTCATCCTGCTGTGTGTGTGTGTGTGTGTGGCATCTCAGTCAGTTCATCCGAATACTGTGTTTCATCTCTGCTGGAATTTATGACTGAAGACCTGAGCTTTTCTTTTGAAGTGAAATCATATTTTAAACTTTTGTGCCTCCGGACTTGCAGATCTAGTAAAGTTTCAGCGCTCATCTCGTCCCGATGTCACCTGAGTTTGGCTGCAGCCCCCCCCCCCTGTGAGCCTCAAAGGATGATCACTGTAATGGATGGATGGATGAATAAAGTGGTATTAATGTTCTGCATTTATTTTCTTTTGTGTGCACAAAGGTGCGTTCTTCGTTCCGTATGTCATCTTTTTTGTGTGCTGCGGTATCCCCGTGTTTTTCCTGGAGACTGCCCTGGGTCAGTTCACCAGTGAGGGAGGCATCACCTGCTGGAGGAAAGTCTGCCCACTGTTTGAAGGTAAGAGGGGACAACACGTCATATTAATTATACTGAGGATTGAAGCGAGAAGTAGAAAGAAGTCCAACTAATGAACTTCACTTCTTGCAAACATCTACATCAAATATTTTTAAATTTAATTTTTATCAGCAAGTGTCTTACTGACATTGGTCAGTTTTTAAAGTTGAAGTTCAATTGAATTCGATTTTAATTGTATTTGTATTGTGCCAATTCGTAACATGCAGTTTCTCAAGCCACTTCACATAGTGAGGTTAAATCTGTTCACCTGCAGAATTCTTTCATCTGTAACTTTTTGTCTTTTCAGGTATCGGTTATGCAACGCAGGTGATTGAAGCTCATCTAAACGTGTATTACGTAGTGATCCTAGCCTGGGCTATCTTCTACCTCTTCAACTGCTTCACCACTGAGCTGCCCTGGGCGGGTTGTGGACATTACTGGAATACAGGTGAGGGAATATAGAATAAGTCACAAACATCTTCATGTAGCCCCAGATCACCATTTTCATCCTCTTTGTTTTGTGAGAAAAAGGAAGTCGACATCACAGAAATGCAGTCAGATCTTGATGTATCATCATATCTGCTGATGTACCTGCCAAAATAATACCATGCTGTTGTGTTTCCAAAGAGAACTGTGTTGACTATTATGGAGAAAATGCCACCAACATCACAAACCCCAACGCAACTTCTCCAGTCATTGAATTCTGGGAGTGAGTACATTTTCATCTCTACTTTTATTTCACTTCATCTTCTCTTACATTTCCCATTAAAAAAAGAAAGAAATTAAAAGCTCTGTTCGATAAGTCACATTAAAAACCAACAATAATAACTTTTTATCTCCACTCCTATATAATATTGATGACATGTCATTAATCATGAACAGACGCTTTGTCAGTTTAACATCTCAAGTCCTGTTTCAAAGTCATTATCTAACACATCATTGAAAAGCTGAGCTGCCGATGGCTCCAAACACACTCAATAACCTTTCCCCCAATAATTAGTCAGCCCTTTTCATATTTGTGTGTCAGCAAGCCCTGTTAGGCCAGCTGTCTCCCAGCTAGAGCCATGTGTGTGGCAGCGGATCAGGCCTTGTCAGTGTGTAATGCTGACCACACTTCCTGTCTCACTGCCAGCGGCTGTGTTTACACTGCTCCGTCTCAATCTCAATTTCATCCTACTGATGAATCTTCTCAAACTACACATCTGTATCGCAATGGTTAAATTGAATTTATTGTATTTATTATTGCATTTCATCTAAATTGATCAAACAGTGATTTAAAAGTCAGCAACATAAAAAGAGACAAACATGTCTGACCAACGTGTCGTTGGCACAAACAGACTGAGCCTTGTTCCGTCTGTGCCAAGACACACTTGTGTTTGTACTGTACATACAGCAAACAGCACAAACAGCAGAGCTATGTGTTAAGTGGCATTCAGCTGTACAGATTTAAATACTGATTTTACAAAAAATAACACGGTATGTTTTTTTTAAATCTTTACATTTTTATTTATTATATCTATGTTGGCATTAGCTGAGTGTGAACAGGGTGTATGTAATAAGTGATGTGTGTGTACGATGAAAAGAATCACAAAATAGGTAACACATCCTTTGTGCAGCTGTGAAACAACATGACAACTGCATCACTGAATACGTCAAAAGCCAGAGATTACAAATGTCTTTGCTGAGACTGAGATAAATATTCTGTATTTATACATTTTAAAACTTTACAAATACTTCAGCAAAAATGTAATGGTAAAAGTGGCTTAACAAGTTTTCGTTGATGCGTTTTAGAATATTTATGTGACCAGGTAGATAATAATACTTTTTTTTAAAGATTTTATAATTTACCCTGAAAACCTGCAAATATACCATGCACAAAAGATATGCTGCTTTAAATCACTGACACTTAGACCATGGACAAGTATATTTACACACATTAGTGTTCACATCTTGCCCTCTCGTCTGACCAGGAAGGGACCGTGGACGGGGGGTGGTGGTGGGGGGTGGCAGTTGGACCCAGGCAGTGGCCTGCCACCAAGAACATGTCATGACGATCAATGGCTGGTCAGGAGCTGCGGGGGTAAACCCGGTGGCACAGATTTGGCAGCACCTTGTAACTCTGTGGCTACGACTCTCGCTTCTCATCCTCCATCAATGCTGTTGCCTGGCTGTGCTTCAGCAAACAGGAAATTAACTGTTTCGCTGCCAGTGACAATCGATGATGTCACTGTCGCTGATAAAATGCCCTGCAACTGGCATTTACTCTGCACAGTACAACACGCCAACATATTGAACCTGAGACTCTTCTGGATTTAAAGTTTTGCATAGTAACTACTTCTCAACAGAGAAATCTACTTTACCAAGAGAGTGCTTTTGTCAGCTGGTTCACATCTGTTTACCATGATGAAGTTGCACATCTGGGGGCCACCAGCATGTCTGACAGCTGTACAAGGATTACTATCATTAAACTAGTAGATGCAGCGGAAAAGATAATAATGGAGGAGAGTTCTGTTAAACCTAAACTCTAATTTAGCTCATACTGTCACGGCTGACGAGTCTGATTGATGTAATGGACACCACAAAGGGGCCTTGTTGGTTGTCTTCCAGGCTAAGTTATTAACTGACAGGTGAAAAGTAAGTTGTCAATAGTAGGTAAAGACCGAAGAGCCACAAGATTGTGGCTATTGCTTTTCTCACTGTGTCATCTTTAAGATATCATAATGATTCATTAATTGTTCCTCTGGTTGGTCAGGGTCATTGTATTTATGAGAGCAAATAGTTTAGTAGTAAGTGACTGTACAAGTCAGGTAAGGCCCTTCAATGATCAAAGCCAGTGTTTGTATGGGTTTGTTTTCCTGTTGTTGAGTTTGTAGCCTCAAGAAATATCCACTTCATTGCTCATTATATTTGTAAGTTGTCAAAATGAACTCTCAGTATATACAGTATCGTTTTCTTCAGTTTTGTTTTAAAGCTGAAGAGTAGATATATTGTGTGGGGGTGGTGGGGGATGCATTCACCAATATTCTGAGGGAACATGGCGAACTAGCTATTGACATCACTATTTATAATGACCTAAAAGATCTAAAACTGTGCAGATGTAGCACTGCTTCAGAAGTACCTTCAGTGGACTCCATTATATCACATTGTAGCTTGAGTGAAATGCGCTAAAAACCAAACTGTAAGTTAGTAATCGTCTATGTTTTCTTTCCAAAAACAGACGCAGAGTGCTGAAGATATCAGATGGTATCGAGCACATGGGGGGGGTGCGTTGGGAGCTGGCCATGTGTCTGGCTTTGGCCTGGTTCATCTGCTACTTCTGCATCTGGAAAGGACCCAAGTCAACTGGCAAGGTAAGACAGAGTAATGCATGCTTACTATTGTGTGTGTGTGTGAAAGTGGGAGTCGAGCGGTAGCAGCGGAAAGCGAGAGCCTCCTGTTTGTATTGCATGATGGATTCACATGATGAACTTGTGAAAATGATGCTGCATGTGTAATATTGCTGTAACCACACCATCCAACTCATGACAGAAGAATCTGTACTTGAATTTGTTTAATTTTCAATGTGTGTACATGTTGTTTTGGTTCTGCCGGCAGTTTTAATTTCCTGGAGCAACCACAAGATGCAGCATTTTCACACATTGTCCTCAAAACAACTTCCTCACATACACCCTCCTGCAAGTTGAGGACAAAGGGGGCGTCTGCACCACCCACTCCTACCTTTTCTCCATTTTAATGTGCTCTCCTCGAGTCTCGTCTTGCAGCCTTGAGGAGGCCGATGTGGAGTCTGCACCTGAGAAACTCCTGTCAGATTTAATGAGTAGAGTGAGATATAGAGTGAGAAAAAGAAGGAAGAAAGAGGGTAAAGTGAAAAAAAAGGGAGGAGAAGTGTGTGAGGAAGAAAAATTAATGGGTTTCGCACATGACGGGGAAAAAAACACCCAGGCTGCGATGCCTATATCTCCCTGAAGTGTCTTTTGTGTGGCTGTGAAGTAAGAGGGGGAGAATGCTTCTTCATGGCCGGCCTTTAGCTGCTGGTCCAAGATTGATTCCTGTATTCAGTGGGGGAAAGGACAGTGTTCATGAGGAGCATGCAGAGTGTATCCTCAGCCTCCGCCTCTGCTGCCTCTGCCTCACTCTCTCCCGCTATGAGAAATTTACCACAGCTCAGAGAGAGAGGGGTGCTTTTCTTCTCCACTGACCCTAGAGCCCATTCAGTTCCGACTCGACTAAGCTGTTTGCTTTTGTTGTTTGCCGGCCATTCTCACATTTAAGCCCTCCCGTTAGATTTACGGCGAGGCAGGGGCAAGTTTGACCAGTAAATTTGTGGTAGCTTTAAATGTTTACCCGTGGTGAGCTGGAGGGAGCATGTTGAGAATCGGAATGTTCATGGAGAGATTGAATATTGTTCATTAGATCCCACGAGGAGCTGGGAAGAAAGAGGTTTAGAATGTGTAATCGTTTTATTTGACAAATTAATGGAGGAGACAAGTTTTCCCACAGTTTCCCTGTAGACCATGCTGAGTTTAGAGAGGAGTGTCTTAATGTTAAACATTACCTTGGTTAGGATTAAATTCATATCTATAAATATTCAGGTTTTATTGTATTAATATATTTATCGCAAAGTATCAAGTTCTAACAATTTGAAAAAGCAGTCACAAACTTTTTGTCCCCAAACTGAAGTTTGTTTAAGAAGCTCAGTGCTGCAAAGCTTCCATTCATAAAACTGCTGCCTGAAGTTGTACAGTAGTGTGACCAGAGTTATGTCCCATCGTGCATCTTGTGTGTTTAGAGCCGACGTGTGTGAAGGGTTAATCTTATCTGTAGTATCTACACACCCATTTATATTTTGTGAATGAAGTTTTGTGTGAGTGTGCGTTTACTCGTGCACTCCTGTGCATGCTTCAAAGAGAAGCACATTTTCCCACACTGCCAGCATCACTCCTCTGGGCTTCTCCTGTTTAAGAGACGGGGCCAGAGGAGCCCTCTTTTCTTTTCAGTCCCCTGGCCCGGCTCTGTTCTGTCCTGTTCTGTCCTCAATTGGACTTTGACTGGATGCCAGCGAGCCAGGGGATGTATGTTGCCTGCCTCTGCCTTCCAAGAGGCCAGGATTTTTCTTCAAGAGGTTTCTAAGAGTCTTGAGATTTCGAGCACAATTCTGCAACTTCTGAATAGCTCAATAAAAAAGGGAGCGTTGGTTTGATGGTTAGCAAGCGTTAGCCTCTGTAAAAGGTGCTGTGTATGTGTGGTGTTGAGTTGACCGCAGTGCTACACTGCTGTGTATGATACCTTACCAAATGCATATATGTCTTTTCATGGGTATTGTTATGTCTGATTCCAGGTCCCAGGTTTATTAGCTATATGACACGTCAGATTCTGTACATAATAGATAATGATAAGCTGGATTCAAAACACAATGCAGCAATTTGCCATTTTAAAAGTGTATGTGACAGCTCAGGATCCATTGGTTCCATTGGTAAGAACCCAATATTTAATGAAGGCCCTAAATATTACACTTTTCTTGTGTTTAGTTTGTAAGTTATAATATAAAATCCCTAAAAGGACATTTTTCTGGTTTTAAGTCTTTCCTCTTGAGATCAAGCCAGAACAGGGTGTTATTTATCCGTCTCTGAACCTCTCTTCTGATTGGTTGACTGCTTTCTGCATGGATTACGGCCTACTACTGTACTGGGGTCATGACTGAGGGTGTTGACTG